AGCGACTTTTTCGGTTTTCCACTAGGTGTCCAAAAAGTAAACGATCGTTATGTCCACTGACGTGTCCAATGAATTTGTTAGTAAATCTGAACAAGTACAGCAAGGAAAAATTTTGTTGGTGGAAAACACTTGAAGCCAATTGTGAGCCAATTTCATTTGATATCGGTCTAACAGGAAAAGAGTGCTTTATAACAGGAGTGCCAAAGTAAAATCTTGCAAGATAATTAGATTCTCTTCTTGTTCAATGAAAATTTTTATGTGAAATATGATATACAACTGTGGAATGAAGTAGGCTAATGAGAATATATCAATCCAAACAAACCATTTAGGCTCAGTCGGACACTATACCACCAGTATTCATCGCTGTATTTTGTAACTAATTTCATTTCATCTATTTTCAAGATGATTGCATCTCCCCTGGATGTCGACGCGTCGGAAAATTTCCACGAGCAATTTTCGTTCTTAATATTTTGATAAGGTGGTGTTGATATATATCCCTCGGTATTGTTTAGATACAGATTTTCAAGACTGCAATATCCTCTGGAACAATTTGTCAAATAGGCTAAATAAAACAAAAATATTTGTTTACCATAACTAAATTTCGATTAGAAATGTATAGTATTGAAGGCGTTTACTTACCTAGGATAATATTCGCGTACAAAACGTACTGAGAATACGACATTACTTTCATTACTGAATATATTAATGATAAAGCTATAGTGCAATAAAATGAAAAAAGTTATTTTCAATTTTTTGTATGTGGAACCACCGTAGTAAAAATTAGTCTGTTAGATCTATAACGTTTACGAACCCTTTTATCTAGCCCTGAAAATATGATATACACAAATTACGCAGCAAAGTAAGTTTCGGCATCTTTTATTAAGTTGTCTACAATTTCTTTCTACCTTCTATCCTATTCCTAATATATAAGCTTTCATTTCAAATTTGAATGTGAATGCTGCGTGAGATATTTATATCTGTCACCCATGGATCATCGACAGAACTATGTTTTTTAGTAATATATTGACCTGGCTTAGTTTAGATCAGTGCTCTTCAACCTTTTTGTTATTGTGGAAGCCCTGATAATATTTTTATGGAACCCCAATTAACAGAATTTAAAAAAAACACGGAATACTCGTAACACGAAAAGCTGAACAACAACTCTATTTTGTAGTATATACTCTCTCTAGTCTCGAGCAATATCTACAGATCCTGAGTAATTCAATAAATAGTCTTGCTGCACACTAACACAAATATATTTCTGTAACGTTTCGTCTGACCAAGGTCAAACTTTCTCAGACATACATATATATTTCAACTAAAGCAAGAATGTTAAATTATATTCCCAAATTGCCCTAGGGTTCCGCGGAACCCCTGTTGAAGAGCACTGGTTTAGATGATTCATCAGTTTCTATGAAGTGACTTTTAAGTTTCGTCGAATTCTAACAATAGTTTCACTTTCACCGCCAGCACATAACTCCAACAGTTTCCTAGCCTGGGTTCAAAATATTGATGCGTTTAACATTCAATTGACTGGTGGTTTGAACAAGTCATTCCCATCATGCGCTTGAACTCGTTTCGATACGGCAATGACGCTGGATCAAGTATCCTGTTTGCGTATGTTCATTGCTATGGTCAAACACCAAAAATATGAAGTAAACTAGTAGGAATACTAATAGTATATATTTAAGTGAGTATAGTATTTAGCTGCCTAACTGTTGACTCCAGAAAGCGGTGAAAGATCATCTACAAACATTTACGTGAGTGAAATTCAAATACAGAAGATAAAAGTGATCATTTTCACAAAATATCATCTGCTTTTTTACGACCTCGATATGTGAAATTTTTTGTTTTCTGAGCGAATTTCATCACTTCATCATAAAATAAGCATTTGCCGGTAAATCGGGATGAGATTTGGAAACATTCATAATAAAAAAACAATTACTTTGTATACATTTTTTTTAACTTGATTTTACATGCAACATTTCAAAGCAACTGATATATTTCTGCGCGTACAATTTCAATTCGTTTGCACAATGCTCATCATGAGATGATAATATACCCAAAACCGTAGCTTAACAGGAAAGAGTAGGTGTTTAGTTAACTGTATTCTGTAATCCTAATATATTGCACTACTCTTATACCACCTACATAGCAAAACGTTCATAACAGGACCTATCTTGGTTTCTAAGTATTCAGTAATATTTAAATGGGCCTTTCCCAACTAGAAATAATAAACATAACAGAAGTTCGGATTTAATTTTTTTTTTTCAGTTTGAGTTATTACTTTTATTATTACTTTTTATTACTGCTTATGTATATACCTACCCCTTCAAACAAAATTTGAATGATTGGTGAAAAACGAGTTAGACAATGTTTTCATTTCGCATCATAGAACTATTGATATCCCCACAAATTTTGCACAAAATTTAACCGTACGACGTAACCGGTTAAATTACCATCTAAGATTCATTTCCTTGTGGTCCTAAAATTGACCTGTTTTGAAAGCCAGTGTATCATCATACCTACAAATATTCTTTCTTCGGATTTATTTCCTTTTTTGTTCATTAGTGACCTTCCTGATAAACCGTAATTTCTGCTAAGTCATATAAAACAGTCACATATGACATAAGCTGTAACGTATAGCCCTCGACTTTTTCGTAATTGGAACCGTCTTTTTATGCTTAGCAAAGTTAACATTACGTTGTATTAGGCAATTGTTATGTTATTGGACACGAAATGGACATACAGATCGTTTTTGGTTATTGTGTTGTTAAAAATTCTCGTTGTTGTTGTTGTGAAAAAATCGCTTTACTCTTTAACTACTTGACCAATTGTCTTGAAATTTTCTTTGGTTAAAAATTGTATTTTTTGGTAGAAGGCTGTTACTTTTATTTTTTTTAAAAGCTTCTGTGGGCTCTGTGGAATTTGTTTTTGTGTGCGATGATCAAATGGAATCCAAATTAAAAATTGCGCATCTTGTGACGTTTCCGCGTTAGTAGTCAGGCGATGTCGTGACGGATTGCATGTCGGTACTACTTCGTTTTGGCTTTCGTGTCCATATATTTGAGCATCGCTCTTTTGTTGTAAAAAGTGTCGTTGGTTCAACAAATTATTGTTTAGTTGAACTTTGAATTCAAAAATCTTTGGAATCGGTACTTTAGACTTGAGTCTCTACAGAAATTTTTGATTGTTCCATATGCTAGCGTATCTACTGTAGCCTAGCTATTTTGCTTTATTAAGGCAAATAAACCAAGGGATTCAGAACCGAATTTGGACAATGAGAGGCCCTAGGCTATAGGCCATTTGTGACGCTCATCTTCAATGGTGACGTCACGTGGAATTTACTATGACATCATAATAAGCATTCCACTTTTCTTTTGAAATATATCATGACGACATATATAAATCTTTTAATTCCGTCATATACAAAATTTTATTTACAGGCAAGATACATACTCTAATCACCCAAGGAGAATGATTGCGAGTTGATTGATTTAAAAACATTTTAAGAAACTCAACTGTAATAAAACGTCCTGACACCGGAAAACCTGAGGTCAAAATATTTGTTTCTAACCGCGAGAGGTCTAGTTGCCTAGTTGCTGAGGAATAAAATTATAATTTTATTAATTGAAATAAAGGGGTATACGATAAAAAGACACGACAGTAAAAATATAATATTTCTTAGATTCGTTATTGCTCAGATAAATTAGCATGGCTCTATATAGATATTTTATTTTAAATCAAAGGCTACACTACATTAAAAACTGTTCAATTTATCTAAATTAGCATATTTCGTTTTGAAGATTGAAGAGGCAGAATGTTTCAAATCCGGAAAAATACAGTTATTCAACCGTATTTAATTTTTTACCTGGTAAACTGTATATATTTTGGAAACAAATTTTAAACCGAATAAAAAATTGGAACAAATATCAAATAACAATATGTCAATGATTATATATATCAATAGCTTGATGAAAAAGTGTATCTTTACCTTACAGTGCATTCAGCTTCGACTGTGTCACTTCGGAAAAGTTTATCGACATTACAGAAATCTGATTCAAGTTTGATCCAATGGCAACTAAATTTAACAACGGTTTGATACCGCACCAATGTATACTGACTAACCGTCAATATTTCCGCCTTTTTAAAAACGTAGTTTATAAAGAAGAATATAGCTGGTTGTCTACCATTATCCTTTCATAGATCTTCAGAGCCAGCAACTTCATTCTCGTTGATGGAGTTACCCTCATTTGCACCCGAAGCAGATCGATATTTAATTAATCTAAAAATTGAATTTAGAACTGTAGAAATTCATTCCTTGCGATAAAATGATATAGCTTTATATGTGTATATATCGTAGTTTAACAATACCTTACTGTTGTATACATCAACAAAACTGTCAAAATGCCACAAAAACATCCAAGAACGATCACTAATGTAATGTAGTTAGCTTCTTTTGCTTGGTTAAACCGGTCTTTAGTGCCACCGGGAATGGTCGTTTCAAATTCCGATCCATAAGTGCTGTTGTTGAAAGAGCCAGTCTCATAAGTTGGGTTGTCAGCTGCCGTCGTTGTCGCAGCTACACTGACCGTTGTTGAAACCGGTGTTCTGGTGGTGGCTAAAATTAAATCGATACTTCGATTTAAACTACATTATGCATTGAAAATTAAATATACATCATAATACTTACTGATGTAATTGTTACAGTCCACATAGGTGTACTTTATTCGAAAATTGTGTTTACTCTCGTAATACTCTTCTTTGTTTTTGAATGTAAGCTTGGGTGGATATGTAGCGTTCCCCAACATCCAAATTTTTTGACTGCAAGTTGAAGTTACATTCGATAAAAGTTCACAGGTTTTGTATATTCGTGAAAATATGAAACAAACATCTTGAGTAAAATCGCAAATGTTTTGCCTTAAAAATGAGACAGTTCAATATTAATCAACATAACGTTAGGTAAGTTTTTAGGATGTTTGCAGTAGAAACAGATATACCTTGTAAATCTAGCTCCCCAGTACACCACCAAGTAGTTGACTCATGCAAGTATATTAATCCCATTTCTTTAACTTGTAAAACAATCATATCGTTATTTTTGTCAATATTTTCGGGAAACGTCCACACGCAGTTTTGAATGTGTTTTCCGCTTGCTTCTGGCGAGTTGATATATCCTACTTTCCCACTTAGATTATTTGTCACCTGACAGTTGCCTTGTGCTGAAGTCGGAATATATATATCTGAATTAAAAATTGTTGAATTATTGTTTATTTCATTCGCTTCAAACCTACAGAAAACGCCCTCAGTTTGAGGGATGCTATAAGATGTGATTTGTCGGAATCTATTTGCATAGATTACATTCAGGAACGAACAGTGTAAAACATCACATTGAACTTGATAAACTGACATCTTGCAAATTTATAAGGAATACAACCTTGCGATGCGAGCAAAATCCCGTGTTGCTCAGTCACCTGGTTTATTCTTCTATAAGTTTTCTAGATTTGACGTCTTATAGCTAACCAAGCTCACAGACTCACAGAATATTTCTGTGAACCTTTTAAAGTTCATGGCCATCGGATGGAAACCTATTCAGTTTATATCGTTTCGCGGCTTAGGCAGTACGGTTGTTCTGTTGCTTTGATGTATGTATTTAACTCGTTTCAGATTTGCTATTGCGTTTAACGTTTCAAAACAGATTATTACAGCCAATTTTATTCTAAATAACCTCGTTTGAATAAAATAGCGGTATTTACAAGTTCGATAAGATTCTTACCTGCAATTAATCCGAGCAAGAGCCAATAACTTTTATTCTTCATTTTTATTCTGCCCGATTTCTTTAATCTCCAAATTATCATCAACATAACATTTACCCTTACGTCTCAACACTTCCAACCATTTTTACGAGTGGGCTCTTATGAAGATTGATACTTCCGCGTAGCAATTAGTCATAAGTTCCAAGTGATATTAATATGATTCATCATATAATAAAACTGAGAGAAGCATTTTGTTAACTTTGTCGCGTTGGTGGCAAAATTTGAATGTTTATGATACGAGGCAATTTGGATAACTTTTGGCCCAAAGTTCTGCCAATATCGAATTTTAACTAAAACAAATTAACTTGTAAAAATTGCTTACGAATACACGATGTTAAGATGACTGCTGGTTCAGTAATATAAGTAAATAATTCGAAATCACGCAGTTACATTAGGGCTGGTGTCTCTGTTCTAAGCTTGTTAGACTCAACTGATAGAATAATTATTTCTGTACTGCCATATTACTGTCGATGCAAGATTTATGCGTACCGTACAATCAATGCGGGTCATTTTTACCAATGTATAATCTAGGTAATTTTCAAATGGCGGTATTTTGAATGAACATATCGTAAAATAACATGCCCGTTTAGTTGTTTCCGTGAAACGTTTGAATTTGAGCATTTTATAAAAAAAAAAAAAAACCTCTTCGATAAACCTTGTTTGTGCTTTATATTGAAATAATCTGAAACCGGTTTGACGCTGTTTTGTCGAAAAGCCCATACCACGAGTAAACAATAAGCTAAAAGTAAAATGTCCTGCTGAGGACATTCAAATCAGTGACGTACAATTATGATCTAAATTATTCAAATATATATATACAAAGTTTTATCAGACCAAGAATATGTGCAGTGCTGGAGGCCTTCCTCATTAGACTAAATATTTTCGAGTTGAATATAATTATATAACTATATATTTTTTGTAAAAATTAAGAACAAAAAACGCCTTCATTGAATAATTACGGATTCAAGACACTTTTATTTAAAAAAATAGGATTTGACAAACTATCATATGTAGCTAGATGTACATTTTTATTGTACAGTATGCACAACGTCCGATACTGCCAATTAACAGTATACATTATTCGTAAAGCTAGAGACCATACATAAATATCTATGATATCATAAATATCACCCCTCGCGCGATGATAACAAATGACAGATTCTATTTAATCTGATTTTTGCAAAGTACATTAGATCTTTTTGATGTTGCAATCGTTGTACGGGAGTATCTCTTAACGTTTGATAAATGCTATGCCGTATCATATTTCGATTGTTTGTCAATTTTTTTTTTATTGCAACCTAACTTAATGCATTAATTTGATATTTTGTCAAAGCGCCTCCGTAATATATATATATATATATATATATTCTATAATCTATATGGTAACAGTTCAGTTGGAATAGTGGGAATTTGGTAAATGTGAGACAAATGCCCTAAAATGGCACAAATTAGAAAACGGCATTTGTAGACACCGTAAGCTACGGGTACTGTGTCATTGTTAGTCATTGTACATTCGTACCCATCTTCGGACATTGCTCTCTTAAAATGGAATAAATAATAAATACTTTTTTAGAATAAAAACGAAGACTTCTGCATATTTCAGAGAAAAAAGTTGTTTTTCATTCTCGTTCAATCTGACCAATTTGTTTCTCTGTGGAACTAGAGATGAGTGGAATTCTATCAAACAAAAGTGGAACGCTGAGACACGAGACCTGTGGCAAATAAATTTATTAAAACCGTTTTTCCTGCTTTTACTAGCTATGATACACCAGGGACTCTATTGAGCCCACTTGCCTTTGAGTCACCAATCGTTTTACACAGTGCATAATATACTTTCTTTATTTTCTATCAGCTCTCTCTATCTGTATTTTTGTCTATTTAAACGGTAAAGAAAAATTAACATTTACATAAAATCGGCTTAGTTTTCATGGCATTATTTATAGGGTTTGAATCAGCAGAAATCGATTACAGCCACTTCAATGAACCGAGCTGATCTTAGATGACGCTGGAAGCAGAGTCCGATCCCAAACTTTGATTCAAGTTATATATATGTCGTCGTAAGGTACCATTATTTTCTATATTTGATTGAAGCTTCTCTTCGCGTAGGTAGGTGGAGAGAAAAGAGAGAAAGTAATTCACGTAAGGACGCATATTACAATATATATCATAGATGTGAAGTACGTTTTGGTAGGAGAGTGGGTTCTGAAATGCTGATTGTGTAATTAGTTTGGGGTTTCTTTTCGGCTTGTAAGCTGTGTACATAGTAAAGTTACTTCCAACGTAAATGTACCGCCCTTGGAGATTGCATCGTGCGCTGCCTACATGCTCACATCATATTCAGTGTGATGCGAGATTGTAAGATGTTCAGAATGCCAGAAGTTATTGCATGAAGACTTTTATTTGGGGGTCCAAATGACAGGACGTTTAGAATAGCCTACTTTCCATATTTCAAAGAATTTGATTCTATTCAATTATCTAGGAATTTTGGTTTACATAAAGTCGATCAAGTTTCCAAGTAATGCCATTTTAAGGAACACTGAAGGAAAAGTGTGCGAAATGAACTAGAAAGTGCCTTGCTATATTTAAACAGCAATGGTCGAGGTCTAGGTGAAGTATAGGGTCCCATAGTAATCGGGGAAAAAATGAATAAATTCAATAAAGCTGCTCTGGCTGCTGCTGTTGACCATCTATGTTAGAGTCGTCAAACCCAGTGGCCCGCGTGGTATTATTCGAATCGCAATGTCTTTCACAAATCTGAGCCTTTATTGAAACTTCTAATAAAAAATGTCGTTCAAACGCACGAGAAGCACCACCTAGCTATCGAAAGCTTCTTTTATGTCCATTTATGGTCGTTATTGCTAGTGAGACATGTTTGAATTTATTTTTATCGTCTGCCATGTATTTCAATCTGTTTTCCTGTATTTTTTTCTGTGAAGCTAGAAGAGGCAGTTTCATGACCTCAATATTTGACAGCATTCACTTCTACGAGCAATTTTTTTTTCAAGGATGAACCAAGTAAAATCCCCCGTGAGACTAATTTCTGACAGCCACGTGAAAAATCCGTTCCGCATTTCTACATCGTCCATTGCACCTATGATTGACAAACTTGTCGGATAAACGCAGTGCCATACTTCCCATAAATATTTATGTGTGGTTAAAACTTTTGACTTTACTGTATCTTCGTATTTTCGTTGTTCTAATAATTTAGGTGCTTTGTTTGTTTTTTCTTTGATCTGTAGTCGGTGAAACTAGAATATAACTACCATGTCAAGTGGACCGCGCAATCATTCGTAAACTAAATGTGGCCCTTCGTCCAAAATGGTTGGACAACCCTGATCTATGTTATGAGCTTATGAGGCCACACTTCAATGGTGAAAAAGATGATGCACCCCGAAACAAGTTTGAGACCAATCATATTAATAACTCATTTGATATTGGTCATGAAGGTTAATAACAGTACAGGGAGCACCAGCACAAATGTGGCAACAATACTCCATAATAGACTCCATCTTCAGATTGGTATCTTTCGTTCAAATCATCAAATGAAGTATTTTCGAAAGTTGTCAGGTGATAAAAATTATCACAAAATGACCTCGAAGGCAGTGCAAAATTTTAAGAATTATTATTATTATGGGTGAGTTACTAATCGTCCTAAGCGTTAGGAATACGCTCGCCAACGCATCTCTAATTACTCTGTATGGGTTCGCAGGTTCGAATACCATGCGGGGATAGTTATGTGCGAAAGGATTGCTGGACTCCTCGCCACCGTAGGGTGATTCACGTAACCGCTGATCGGATACGCCTTCCTCCACCAGCAAGTCCATGGTACCGAAGACAAATAACTAACTAATCACATACCCGACATGGAATGGAAACCGGACGAGAGGCCGTGGTTCGCCATATGGTACCCTTTATATACGTTGGTCCCAATCGACTTTTTATACCCCTTTTATAATATGACATAAATAGTTAATCAAACACGCTAGTACATTTCCCAATATATCTTTAAAAAGCTTATTTTCGTCGCTTTCCACTAAAACGCGCCCGAATTACGTAGCGCAAATGCGTTCGACCATATGCCGGTAAGAAGAGAGAAATTTCAAAAAATTTCGAGATAAAGTTTCTCACTTTTAACGCTTGGTCAACACGTGATTGATATGCTAGAGAAAGAGTTTTCTTTTGGACGAGCTTTACGTCACCTTCAAAATAAAACAAGAGTGGGATTTTGAAGTGAAGTGATATTCGTTTTATCGAAGAGCATTTGATCGCGTGCTGTCTGGTATCTTTGTTTGTTTATTTATTATGAGCCGGAGAACGTTGCTCGCGCGTTCAAATTACTTCGTTTTCAACTAACAACAGATTCTTTGTTTATTTTTAAGCTTTGAAATATTCATACAAATAAAATTGATCTTGTATCAAAATAAAAATTATACATTAAAAAAAATATGATGACGTCACCGTAATTAAGAACACTCGGATCAAGCATGGATGATTTAAACTCAAACATTTTGAGTTTTGAAATTGGTTTTGTTCACATGCAGACCACTATGAATACTATTGACCCCCCAAAATACATTTAATTTAGCCATAATCCCAAATTATGACACAGGTACGTCACCGTAATTAAGAACACTCGGATCAAGCATGGATAATTTAAACTCAAACATTTTGAGTTTTGAAATTGGTTTTGTTCACATGCAGACCACTATGAAATATTATTGACCCCCCAAAATACATTTAATTTAGCCATAATCCCAAATTATGACACAGGGCACCACTTTATTACCAGGCCGATCCTATAGCTTATTTGAAAATACAATGTTAATAATGACATAGTCAACATCTCGCAGGGATTCAGTGGATCGAAGTGTACACACCAACACCATATCCATCGGCAAAATACCTTTATGACATTGGGAATACTTTAATTGATTTGAACGTGACATCACGTCTAAATAATTCTCAATGCTCAGATGTTATGAGTGCTTCCGACTTCTCAACGAAATAATGCAACGACGCAAATATTACAT